CCTAAAAACAAACTAAATAAACCCAGAAAAGATGGAGACACATATTGTTTTCGGTTATTTTGACAACAGCAAGAAGGGAGGCCAAACTGCATCACATGACGGTTGTTAAGATGAGCCCAAATAAAATTTAAATACAATTACTTTCAGTTTAAAAGCATATAATGGGTATTAATACAATTAATTATGAAATGTGTTTCTGTTTATCACTGTGAAGCAGCTCTGTGAAAGGTTCCCCTCAAGGCACCTGTTCCCAAAATGTTTGAGAACCCCTGACATTAGTTATTAAATGTGTAGCCAGGTTAGGGTAACATTAGGTTTAGTTAGGCAAGTTAGGGATTTACCTTTAATGATCACTGTGTGTCTGGACTGAACAATCTGAACATTGTCATGGGTGGGTTGGTCAAGTCATGCATGGCGGTTTCTGCCAAGTTTCATCTGGGACAAAGTTGACTCATCACCTTCCTGTGGAATGTGTTGCTCCTCCTGATACAAATAAATGTATGTGCACTGTCTTCAGAGAGCGGCCAACACCCTGTGTTTTATCTAGATTTTAAAGCTGGGTGAATAGGAGACATTTCTGAAATTCATATTTCCTGCACTGTTGCAGACACTTCAAGTAATTTAATCAACATCCTAAATGGAAATACGGTAAGTTATCATACATTTGGATATGCAATCTGAACACACGCTTGTTGAAGGGTATGAGCTCTTAGTCCTCAGTTCAGATGACTACATACTGCTTCGATAACATTAAGATTCAGGATCTATGGAGTCCAATCCATAACTGACTGCATTGGCAGTGTTTTTGGATTGTCATACTGAGAAATGGAGCTGTTGACAATCACGCACTTTCTAGATGGTGGATCAACATTTGATCTTTGCCCAACACCACTGGCTGAAATACAAATCCCCAAACAAGGCAGAGCCTCCAAAGTGTTTTATAAATGGCTGTAGACACTCACTGTTGTACTTCACATCTGACCTCCTCCATTCATACTGTTGATGACTTGAGTCATCATTTTCCAAATTTGGGTTCATCACTCCATAAAATCTGTTGCCACTGATTGTCAGTCCAGTTCTTGGGTAATTTGGCATTCCTCAGTCTTTCTCCCTGTTCCCCTCATTAAGAATGGCTTCATGACAAGCATCCTTTTCAATGAGAACATTTCTGATGAGGCTTCAGTGAGCAGTAGATGGATAAGCTGAAGGTCAAAATGCATCTCTCAGGTGATATGTCAGGTCTGGATTTTTCCCTTTTTCTTGAGGACATGACTTTCAGATAATATTCAACTGGTCTAGATTCTTTTCTTTCTTTCTTTTTTGTCCATCGGTTGTCCAGTTTCCTCAAATTCCTCAAATTGAAACACCATGCCAATATATATCAAGTTTTTTGGCAAATAGCTCTTTGGGAATAAGCTTGTTAGTGAAAAAATAAAATGTTTACCCCTGTCAAACTGTGTTATTGTTTTTTATAGGTTCAGCTAAAGAAATCTGTAGCAAATTATGTGTTTTTGTAACAGGCTGTGTAATAATAACAAGTGTAATAATAAAGTTTCTATAAATACAATTTAAAATTGGTTAATTACTAAACTGTCTGTTATCTGTAGATGGAACATTGGTTCATCCTTTGAGTTACGTGCCTTTTTTAGTCCCTGAATTAGTCGCAGGTCAGTGTTAAGTGGCTTAACAAACAAGAAAAAGCATTCCTGTGAAATGGGCCGGACTGAAAAAGAGTGAAAAAGAAAAACTTTGAAAGACCTTTAGAAAGTCTGGAAGCAAAATATAAAGAAATGAGGCGTGGCTCAAGACTTTTGCACAGCTGTTACAGCAGGGGCAAACAGGGGTAAATATTATTCGGGATCACTTGTACATGGTGCGTGTGTGTGTGAGAAAGAGAAAGAGTGAGCTTGGCTGACTGTTTAGACTCTGTGCAGATGTGTGTATGTGTGTGGGTCGTCTTCCTGAGTGTGTTTGTGTGTGTGCCTGAGTGTTTATTAACCTGTCTGTACAATGTGTATGTTAGTCAGATTTTTACCAAATGAGTAAAATGAGGCCACTTAAACGCTCCAGGAAATAAGCTGAGCCGTCAGACTTACTCTTTGCCTACATGTTATTTTAAGCCCAAATTACACATCATCTGATATCCATCCTAAATGGCTTTTCCAGCTTCACTGCTCCAGGTATTTTGAGCTAGAAGGACAGCAGTAAAAAAGGGGGCAGCAGGTTTAGCAGCAGTATAAAGAAAAGAGAAAGAAAAACAGGCCCAGCTCCACTAAGATGATGGAAATCTGCCAAATCCAATTCCCTGAGAAGGAGAGGGCAAGGCCCAAGAACTATGGAGATCCCACTTATCTCTTTTTCAAACATTTACACTCACAGCTTCAGTATTTCAGGAAGTTGATCTTCCCAGATGTTAAAGACTCATGTTGATAAAGGGCATCTAGTATAAATTTAAGCAAGAACGGGTTGAATAAATGTCCCTTGAGCATCTCTTTAGTTTTATATAAAATGAGGAATACGTTATCTGTACTTTTTGTAGCTAGCAGCAACTATTTCTTTTAAGTAAGCTGATCTACATGAAAGGAAATCTGCAATCAGCCTGTGATCAACAATCATAATTTAATGTTACCAAGAGCGCAAGTTACACTGCAATAATCAAACAGGTCTGAGCAGACTTTGGTTGCATGCAAGTGAACGGTTTTTGCAACATGCAAATGCAATCTTGAAATCATCAACTTGTATCTAGCAACAATTTAATTATCAGAATCAGGATATCTTTATTGTCATTTTTAACAAGTGCAACAAAATAAGTGCAGTCCCTGCGGTGTCAAGAGAAAAAATATAAATATAAGAGAGGTAGAACACAGTCATTCAGTATAATAAATAGAACCTTACTGCACACAGACACTATTGCACAGGATGTCATCCACTGCACAGTATTTGGCAGGTTGAATTGTAGGTGATTACTTGTAATTCAATGCCCTAACAGCTACAGGGTAGAAAGTGCTATTTAGTCTATTTGTCTTTGTTCTGATGCTCCTGTATCTTTTGCCTGATGGCAGCAGTTGGAACAGTTATGAGCGGGCTGTGAGGAGTCTTTTATGATATTTCCTGCTTTCCTGAGACAGCGAGAGCGGCGCAGTTCGTCCAGAGAGGGTAAAGAACAGCTGACAATCCCCTGGGCAATCAGGAGCAATCATTAGCTTTATTAATTTATCTGCACTCTAAATAATAAAAGCAAACAATAACAGTAAGTCATTAGGACATCTGGTTGCTACACCAGAAACCTTTGCCCCCAGAGGCTGTCGACAGGCTAACTCCCAGATTATACATAAGCCAGCTATTGTCTTTCTACTAGATGAAAAGGTTTGGTATTTCTGGTCTTTAGTTTACAAGAACTGAAAATGTATCTGCCTTTTTTGACTAGAATGAAAAAGATAAGATACTGGCTTACCAGAGTCATTACTACAGGAAATAATGAACTTTACCTATTATAATTGTATTAATTATTAAATATTATTGCTGCTGAACAATTTTACTGCAAAGAATACAGTGAGTTGCAGTTTATTTAAGTGTAAACATAACATCAATATGAAAATGACATGTGCGTTTTGTTAATTCAGTGAGTATTTAATTAGTCCTAAAACAGCTTCTTTTTGTTTATTAACACACTGCTTAATCAAGAAACGATAATTTGTCTTACACATGCCACAGGTTTTAGATATGAAAGGCGTACTGTGTCACCTCTCGTTGCTTGAGCCTACTCCTGAAGGCCAGACTCTAATGGAACACTAATGGCTTTCAACATGGTTACATTTCTCACCTCGTCACTGCTTCTGCCCTCAGAACAGCCTCACTGAAAAGGTCCCTCTGAGGTTGAAAGCCTCTCATAAAACACAGCCAACGTCTCAAAGTTAAGTGAGCTCTGAGGCTGTCGTCAAGGCTCTTAATGAATCCTCGTGCCTGTTCAGGACCAGAGCCGGCCGAGTGTTGGTGTTTACCGCAGGGAAGACGTCATCGCTGCTGAAGAAAGATCGTAATTATAAACATGCCACTGCTGTTTCCAGTCGTAGCAATTTAAGAACAGACCCCTGTCGCCCTAGGGTCTTAATGACGCCAGGAGAACAAGTGGCAATTTAGAAGGGTTCATGGTAACACCCTCAATGCAGGGCTGGCAGCCTCCAAATTTAAACTACAGTATGGAGGGATTATGAAGGGAGACACGGGCAAGTGGTCAGACTCTGGCAGCTGATTTTACCTCCTGTGAAAGGGAAACACATGACTGTCTTCTGTTGCATTCACTTCTGTGTGTGTTTAAAGTGCTGAAATAATTGTTCATGGGTTTTTAATCGCTAAGTGATGTTGCAGTTAAGATACAATAGCGTCAGTTTAAACAGCAACACTCGTCGATTACAACCCAGGAAGTTATTTTAATAGCTCTGTTCAAGCTGATTCATGAGGTGTATGAACACAGCAATATGTCTACAACAGTAGTGCCAAGATATGCAATCAGTCAGAGTGTCAGACAAGCAATCTATCTTATTCTGAATTAAATGCAAGACATGACACAAACATGTTGCCCATAATCTCTAAGAGTGCGGGAAACTGTACTTGTAAAGCCTCTGATTTATTTGTTTACTTGTACCTGTTACATTGACCTGGGTATTTGTTCAAAGCAGTCTCATTAGCAGTCTGACTGCTCGGGTTTACTGTCATGTTTGGTGTCTTTTTGCTGCCAAATGTGAGGATGTTGCCAGTTTTTGGAAACGATGATTCAAATTGTTATTGGGTGACCCACAGCAAAACTCCACTCCCTTTTAAGTTGGATTTCACTTGTATTCCCTGAGGTTGTGACCTGTTCAATCAATGCAAATTATCAGCTCATTCTGTTGTAGTGAAACCAGGTGTGCATTATTGGCTTCAGGCAGTAACTGAATGGGCACAGTTTAGCTGTGTGAGTGAAAGTAAAATTGCTTTGCAGCAGATCGCACATTATTGAAGTTTGTGTGTCTGTATCCCCTAAGCTAAATTCAGGTGTGAGCAGTTAAAAGGTATTGAGTTAAAGCAATATTACTGCTTTGTTGTTGTGTGTCTTTGAATTCATACACCTGTACAACCCTGTGCGTATCTGGTCATGTGGTAGCTTGTAGTTTAAAGAGACAATGCCAGCCACTGCTCCATAGTCATTGTATGTACATGTTTTTGTTTATTGGCCTATATATTTTTTATTATTATTTGAAGCACCTGGTGATATCAAGCCATGCAGATAGCTTTGGTTTGGGATTTTTGAGGAATTTGTTTTTTCAGCACTCAAGGCATTTGGAAAAATGAAATTTGGAATTCGGAAGACTTATCTGTAACTTCACCTTCCATCTTTATGATATATTAATTGCTCTATTTTCAAATTCCAAGCTTCTGAGGAGTTTTTTGGTTGTAAAATCCTAAAACTCAGCTACCAAAATAGTGACAAAGAAAGCTAGGCTGGAGCCAAGACTTTTGGGAATCACCCTATCCATGGAGAAACACTGGAGCCACACAGGAAAGTCTGCAGATAATTTTCCAGCAACCCCTCAGGGTGAGTTTTTAGGCTGCATTAGGAAAAGTTTAAATAAGTTAAAAAGTCATGTTATAATGGGGAAAAAAACCTAAATGTTAGGGGTGGTTGATATGTAAAAAACAATATTTCAGCATATTTTACACCTTTTGGCTCCCATATCAGTGTGTGTGGTTTCAGGAGGTTGGTTAACACAGACATGGCTGTCATGGTCCTGCCCAGCAGTAGACTGATTGGATGGGAGGTATTCGTGTCAATGTTTGCTCTGGTTAATGAGCGGAAGGAAGGTGAGTCCATACAATACACACTCATACACACTCTATCAGTAGAGCAACACTGTCAGGGTTTGTGTGTGCGCGAGTGCATGTTTGTGTTAAGGGTGACTGCCCTAAGCCTCCCAACCCACCCCGGGCTGATTAGTAGTTTGTCTTTAAGTAAACATGGAAGAGAACCGCAGAGGAATCTAACCTGTGGAAGGAAGGAAGGGAGGAATCCTCTATCCATCACTGACCAGGAGATGCAGAATGGGCGCACACTGCAAGAAATTCAGATTTCCCCTGGGAAGTGACCGCCTTCCACTCAATAATGATCGCTCAGCCATTAAAGGAAAAACACATTGTCAAAAAGAAACCTGCTTAAACAAAGCAAAGCTGATTTTTCTGACAGAAAATCGCGTTTATCTGAAATATCAGCAGATTCAAATTTGTCAAAAGTATTTGGCAAGGATGAGCATTTAAGTGAGTATTTATTGCTGAGTGTTGAATTTCCAGGCTGTGGAGTAATTAGCTCAGAGCAATTGACACTTCCAAAATCAGATATCATAGTTATTTATACTCTGATTATTTATCCAGCCAGTGAGAACTTGGTGACAGCAGCATTCCCTCTGAGATCAAGGGTGGCGTCTGAAAGGATGCATCCAAACTTAAAGAAAGTAAACATCTTCAGAAGTCAGGAGGGCCTTCACATCTTATCTTGAAGACATACATCACATCTAATTAAACTCAGGCCTCTTCTCCCATGCGCACATGAAGTTTTAAATCAACCAAATTACCCTGGGGACCAAGGCGACACTCATTTAAATATTCATTTAATTGCCAGCTTCAGAAAGATATTATACGCGGAGTTGCAGGTTTCAATGCAATTGGGTCAGGTCAGTTATTGGTGCCTACAGAATGAAGTGGATGATGGTGGCAAAGACAAACATTGCTAACAAAGCATACATGTACATACTTGTAACCTGGAATTTAAGGGCATTAACGCATGCACAGTGGCACATGTTGCTCTCAGGGGGAATCTAATGTAAATGTTGTAGACATTGGGAAATATGTCAGCAATTTCACATGCGCCAACTCTGCCCAAGTGCCATGAGTGAGTGGAGTGTGCTGCCCTTAAAATCTCTTGGCTAACTATTATCTACTGAATATCCAGAGAGGTGGTTAAGAATTACACAAGGGCTTGTATTTATTAATTTGTTCATAAGGCGGAGAACCCGGTAATAAAGCTATAGCAAAAGGAAATTTCCCCTCATTTGTTTTTCTATTGAGTATTCCTGCTATTTATTCTGTTTGGCAGTAAAATTCCCTTTTATTCCATCACCGTAATCTGAGTCTGAATCAACTTTATTGACCAAGTAAAAGGATTTGGTCTTTTTCTTCTCTTTCAGTGTAAGTAACAGGATAGACAACACACAATACTAACAATCAAAACATGTGTAACATGTGTGAGATGTTTATATTCATGGCACATGGTAGAGAGTTCGAAGATGTTGGAATAAATAAGATATGGATAACTAGTTAATAAATATATATATATTACTGTTTATAATATGTATAGAACATTATCCAGATAGCGATGCTTGTTTGGCACAAATTTAGCCCAAAGCAGAGGTTCTCTTGCGTGCCAGATTTGACCATGACTCATTGCACTGACTGAGGTAAGACTGGTTGCTTGACCAGGTTCAGTTTATATAGGCCAGATGTGAGGTGTGTACTGACATCTGGGTCACATCTGTCCCACAAAAAGCTTCCCCTAGTCTATGTCAAGTGCAGCTAATGACATTTGGGCCAAATCTGACACAAATGTCAGGTGCTCTGAGCTGTATGTGTGCAAAGACTCCCAGATTATGCACAAATGTGTCTTCTGAGTAATTATTCTTGTTCCTCACCCCAATCAGACTTCATAAACTTCCCTTTAATATAATTGCAGTTGTGACATTCTGTCTTTCAAGGCTAAAACAAAATGCCACTTTATCATCATTGCAGTGATGATCATCTACGCTCTGTGGGAGCTTATGAACATGAGTTGATTTGTGAGGAAGCATCACATTAACTGAGACTTTATTATCTTGTCTGTTGTTAACCCTAATTCCCTTTTTGCTTATCGATCTAACCACATTTTTCAGAGAAACTACTCAAGACTGACAGAGTTGTGGCTCCACGGTGCGAATCAACTTAATTTTACCACATTAAATTATAGAAAGGAGAGTAGTGTTTGAGAGTATCACAAGCCCAAACTTCCCATGAGGAGGTTACAAAGACACAGACATTTCAGAGTTTCACAGCACGCCTCAGTAACTCTGTGAGAAGCCGCCCTCCTTTGCTACCCACCCACCTTTTTCTTTGGCGTCGTGAACTTTGAGAGCCCTGGGAGAATCGGGGGGAAACCTACCGAGAGTCAAGAAGGGAGGTTAGATAGAGGAGTGGCAGAGTGGGCAGCCCAGAGAATGCAGAAGTTGACTTCTAAACAGATGCAGTAATTCCATTTCCACCCTTTTAAATTTGGTATGCAGGGGGCCAGGGCGTAACCCTAAACCCACTATCGCTGTTGCACACAGAAGGGGGAGGCGCAGTCGACAGTTGGTGGCTGGGGCCACCGAGTCTATCGGCCTTGTTAATCAATACGGGTTCCACTCTGATAGACAGCGATTGGTGTAACCGATGCCCACCCTGCTATTTTGTTCCCTCTGGCAGGAGGAGCAGGCACCTGTTTCTTAAGACTTTCACCTGCAGTTCACAGCTCAGCTGGAGACGGCTGGCCCAGCGTGAGGCATCTGGATCAGCCCCAAAAAGTTCCTGCACATACATAAGAATGTCTGAGGAGTCTCATTTCTTCATGAGAAAATTGTCTCCCCCCCGTTCAGACAAAGTGAATGTTGTTTTTGAAAGTAAAACCAGCTGCAAAAAGTATCATTTTTATATGGAAGTCAACCAAAATGAGACACTATTATCTGAAATTAATAGTAAAAGAAATTCATTCAGGTTGTTTTTCTTGCTGTGTAAACAAATGTACTGTTTATGACCCTAACATTGGTGGCTTTAAAGTAATAATCAATAAAATGATCAAAAGAATGAACAAAAACTGCATTACTTTTGCATTATACACACACACACACAATATCCTTCTATTGGACAGTTATGTATCGGAGTTTCAGGAGCGGGACCACGCCTCCAAACACGCTCCTTCCTGTTCTCATCTATATAGGTTCCCCCAGTTCTGCAAGCTGATCGTTCTCGTTTACGTGCCTCACCCTCCCTCCCCCTTTCAATTCTTTTTTTTTTTTTTTTTTTTTTTTTTTTTTTTTTTTTCTTTTTGGCCTGTCCCGTTTGGCTCTTTTGCCATCAGAATTGTTGTCTAAAGGCAAAGAAAGATGCCCAACGGATTTACTTTACCAAACTGACCATCCCAGCCTTGCCG